AAAAAAAATCACTCAACAGCTGAAACAATATCAAATCGTCAATCATCTGCATCAATTAATAGTAATGGAAGTATCTATGATATCAATTCAAAGGAATCTTCTGAATTATTACAGAAATCTATTATGAAATTGTTAATCAATGTAAAGTTTACAGTTCACGGTATCACTCATGAAAATTTATTAGTAAATGATTTTAAAATTGATATGAAAAATGTTACTAATGTTACTACACCAACATGTTACATAGAATGTATTTGTGATCATCGAATTAAGCTATATTATCAAAGCAATGCATTTCAACTTTCAAATTTAGCTAAACATTTTAAAAACATCAAAAATGTATTAAAAGCTGTTAAAAATAACAAGAATCATGTGCTTGATACTCCAGAAGATTCCAATCAAATGATTATAGATGACGAAGATTTAGAAACTGAAAATCATATTTCGTTCAGTAACAATAATCAAAATGAATCTATCCATAATAATACAGATGCTAGTTTCGACTCAGCATCAACAACAAATAAGAAAACGTGAGTTTTTTTAACTTGTGGTTATTTTTTTTGGCTATTCGTGTTTTCTCTTAAGAACTAGCTATCGTCAACGAAAATCATCTCATATTATTGATTCTGACTCTAATGAAAGTAGTAGTACATTAGCCAAATCATTAAATCAGTCAGTTTTTATTTATTGTTTTACACAAAAATGACTTGTTTTGTACTTAAAGTAGTAATTTCAAACGACCATCTTCTCATTCTATGCCAAAACCAGGTGAAACTGAAAGTTCAATTTTATTTTCTCAATCAAAATCAACAAAGGTAAGCTTGCTTGCTTGCTGCTTCGTTTATAGCGACTAGCTTTTTTGGAACTTCATTTCGTTGATGAATCCTACAAATCATTTTAAATAATAAGTTGCATGTTCTTGTACCATAAAACAATATATACTTTGACGTTAGTCCATATGAATTCATAGTAAGAATGAATAATGTAGATATATACTTCGTACAATACTAAGAGCTGGTCTTGATCACATTGGAATTCTTTTCTGTTAATGTTCATAATATATGTGCATGCTGAAATAACTTTTTTATTTAGCAATTAACAACTGAATCATCAAGAACAATAAGTTTACCACCTAATAATCGATCGATTAAAGCTATGACAGAACAAGTAAGTCTCATAAAAATGTACTGTGATTCTATTTATTTATTGTTTATATTATAGAATAAAAAAAGTAACGCCTATCCAAATGCTAAAAATTGTAAGCTAGCTCAAACTCGCAAACAAACTGTAATTGATTCATTGGATAAAAAGAAAATAATAAACCAACAAGATGTAAGTATAGCTTTATTATGGCCATATTTAACTTGTATTATATTGCGAATAATTCAGATTGTAACTATAACTAATGAAAACAATAATTCAGATTTTCTATGTACCTTGTTGGAAACAATCAATTTAAATAGTCATCGATCACCTAATCATTACAGATATCCACATTCTATATTGAAATTTTGCTACTGCTCTTTTTATACTTGCTGGAATGTACGTTTATGAATATCTTCGTATTAACTTGAGGTTTTTATTACCAACAATTATAACTATTCAAAACAATTGGTCACATGAACCTTATTTAGAAGCAAAATTTCGATTTGATCAATCTCAGCTTTATCTTACTTCAATAGATTGCAAATATATTTTTTTATCTGAAGATTGTTCAGCAATTATTCCTCGAGTAGAATATGATGCAAATTCTGACTTGTTCAATGGTTTTGTTACTCCAGTTGTGAATGGTGTACCATCCGAAAATATTTTCTGTTGTTCATCATTTGAAGAATTTAAATTTTTATTTGAAAACACTCCAACAGCTAGTCTTGTTAATATTCATTCAGTTTAACCGATACCTGGTTCAAGTTTTACAATGACACCATCGCCAATAGTCTTGTCAGCTTACGGAACAAACAATAAACTAACAGCGATTGATGTTTTACAACGGTGGTTAATGATATACAAAGAATTTCATTCAAGAAATATTCGTGTTGTCGGATTTTCGACTGATGAAGATCCCAAATATTTACGGGCAATGAGATTGACATCAAACTTTTTTGTTGAACATCAAACGTTAAATATTTGCAGTGAGACATCAGCTTTGACAGTTAAAATTCCTTCAAATTGGTCATCGTGGTTTCTATTAAATTCAACTCAACTTTTTATATTTATGCAAGATGGTATACATTTATGTACCAAAATACGAAATAGATTATTATCAAAAATTGCAAAATTAAAAATGGGATTATATGACGTTTCAATAAACCATTTGTTTAAACTTATTGATACAACAAATAACATGGATCATAATTTGTGTAAATCTGATTTAGATATTCGTGACAAGCAAAATTTTTCATCTTGTCAACGAATAGCAGATGATAAAGTATTAAATCTCTTGATGTTAAATGATGAATACAAAGCAACATACATTTACTTATTAATGTTAAATTTATTAATAATAACATACACAGAATGCACTATTTTATTATCTGATCGTGTTTATTATGCTTGGATTATTTTATTTTTTATTAGATTCTGGGGAATATGGTTACATATTACAAAATCATCTCGTAAACTATCGGCTACAAACAATCCTCGAAAACGAGAGGAAGAATCTTATTTTATTACTTCTAATGCATTGATAGCTATAGAGCTCAATGCTCATTATTTAATATACGTGTATTTATTAATTGAACAGAAAATTCTTCCGGAATCTGTAGCCAAAGCTACTCATTTATTTTCATCTCAATCGTGTGAACACGTTTTTCGCAATACGCGTTCATTATCTGGTGTTTATTCGACACGTATAAATTTCACCATGAAACAATTCTTAAAACGTATCAATAAATTAAATGTTCTTACGGAAATGAAACAATATGAAACAACAAATAACAATGAAAAAATATTTTTTCCTATTCATCATAAAATTAAACAATTTAACTTACAAAAAGTATCAAAAGTTGATGGAAACATTGGTTTTAATACAAATATCCTTGAAGAAATCGTTCTTGAAGTATATAAAGTTGCTCAAGAAATGCCATTTTTTGTTGGAATGAACAATGATTTGATAGAAAAAGATCTTTTTGAGATTGAACAATCGTCACTACTCACTCAACGACTATTACAACGGAACAGTTTAATAGAACAAGAGATACTTGTTGTTGATGATACAAGTAGTGATGAAGAATCAGATGCTGAAGCATCAGATGATCAAGAATTAGATGATATAATTTTCGATGATGATCTGTTGGAAGAGGATGCGACTCCAACAGCAACTTCTGAAAACGTACAATCGACATCGTGCACAGGTGTTTATGACAGAATGTATGTTCTAAAAAGCTTTTATATTAAAAAATTTATAAAAAGGCATATTATCTATCAGTAATATGTGCATTTTGTCTAGTTTGAAAAAGAAAACATGCGCTTTACTTAGTGTTTTCATTCAAATTAACTAGGTAGAAACGAATAGTTGGATATAGGATATCTTCAGTTAAAGAATTCAATAGTTTTTTTAAGATTTATACGTCAAGAATAAATAGAAGACAAAAATATATAATGTAAAGGAGAAACTGAAAAGTGTTAAGCCAATAATACGCAACGAATAAGAAAATTTTATTTTTTTAATCGAATTCTTCACGACTCTTTTTATTAAAATATTATACTATTCTTTTTTTATTCCATTTAGGACTCAGATTGAAAAAAACAATTTCAAATGCCAATGCACATAAGTATTTTCCGGTTAATATTAATGAAAAAAAACGTTTTTTACATAAATCAGCAGCAGCGTGGTACCTTCAAGACAGACAACGACGGATCTCATGTGACCGTCTTCAACGTGTAAAAATAAAAGAAGCTTTTTAATAGATATGTTTTTTTGTTATATATAGAAAAATTTGTAGTTTGTATTCCATATTGTTGCTCTTAGATTAAATTAATATATTCTTTTTGGAATAGGATTGTGTTCAAACTAAGAACACCATATTTTATTTCTTTTAGAAAAAAAGGAAGTGATGAACATTACTTTCAACTATTTAAGCCAGATTTAATCGACGAATATCATTCAATAAAATCAAGTTTTTAAATAAAAACTTCTGATTCAAAAAAGCTTTTTTTCTATGGATATTACGTGCAGAAAACAATGGTGGAAACAGGAAAAAAATTCTGATACAAAAAGTATGATATTTTTGAGTTCAATAATCGTTTCCTACTCATGGCAGTCGACTAGATTAACTTTTATTTAGTCAATGCAACACAACGTCTGTCACTCATTATGAGCTCCTAAAAACAATTTATACATTTATTTTCTATGGCGTGGGAAACTAATAAAAAGACGATTAAGGATGGAAATATCTATTTATTATAATCAATCCTAGATTTTATATTGCCAGATTTTACCCATAAATAGTGAATATATTTGTAATCATAAGGATTGTATTGAGAAGCATGTGTAATTATATGATAGATCCTAACTACATGATACAAGTCGTTCTTAATAATAAAAGGGACGTTTTCAACATTCCATACTGTTTGAAACCGCTATAAATCACAGAGAAGCAATTAGTGTCAAAGAAGATATAAAAAAGAAAAGTGTTTCATTTCATTATCCATACTGAAAGACACTGAACATTAGTTGTTAATGAAATAGCAACGAAGTACGGATGAAGTACAAGAAAGTGCAAGTGAAGTACAGTTGAAGTACCGGTGAAGTACAGCTAAAGTACCAGTGAAGTACCGATGAAGTACCGATGAAATACCGATGAAGTACCGGTGAAGTACCGATGAAGTACCAGTGAAGTACCGATGAAGTACCGATGAAATACCGATGAAGTACCGGTGAAGTACCGATGAAGTACCAGTGAAGTACCAGAAAGTACAATGAAGTAGAAGTCTTGCTTTTTCCCCCTTGCCTTGACTTCATCACTTGTTCATTCTTACACTGTTCTCTCCTTGGCCTCATCATCTTTCTTTTCATCATCTTTTGTTCTACTTGCGCATATAAACATGTGCTTTATATGTAAACGAGACGATTATACGTATAATATGAAGAAATAGAATAAAGTCTAATACCACCAACACTAATCCCACTCCTATCATCGATCGTCACTTAATGATTTAATAATATGAAGAGATAGAATAAAGTGTATCATCGCCATCTTTTGCCACCACTAATATTTCATTCACAGTTATTATCATTTTTTCGTTACAATCAGTCCTTCCTGTGATGTAAACTGATTATGTATTATAGTGTATATTTTTTAAAACTTCTCTCAATGTTAAGACTAAACAAATAAAATTTTTGTTGATATTGAAACGTCGTGTTATTTTATCGATATGTTTATGTTCCAATAATATTAGATGCTAATACGTTTGATGCCTGCCTCGTTGTGTGGTGAAAACCTTGCTGAATCGACAATAACAAACTAATTTTTTTTTAAATCCGTGTTGTAAAAATAAGATCTTAAGTAAATAATTGGCTAAATGAATTGAAAAAGAATAGTCTTGTCAATTGTTTATTCAAGTCACATAATTTTTAACTAAACTAGGTTGTTTTCTTCTCTCATTTACGTAAAAAGATACAGCAAAGCGAGATGAAGTATTTTTCTTTCAACACCGATACTTGACTATTTACTGGAGAAGTTATAGAGATTTTCAAAATTATCTTTAGCTGAACTTGTTTGAACGATTCGAATTCTTTTAGGTCATTTTTTTGAAAGAATAAAAAAAGCTTAGTGACTTTCAGTACTTTAAGAATTACAATGTGGTAGTTCAACCGATTGACGAATGCTTATCAGGTTTCATAGAAGAGACATTGAGCTATTGAATGATATACTTTTTATTTAATTATAAATTATTGATAATGAATATGATATTGAAAAAGTGAAATCCTCGCTGTATTTACTGAAGTGATATGAATTACTCTGCCTGATATGATTCGAATCACTTTGATAGGACAATCAGAGTTTTTGTAAAAACTCATTCAAAATATTGATCTACTATTTTTTTTTGAAAGACTTTTACATGATTCGATAGAGTTATATCTTGCATTATATTTTGATTGAAAATATCTTCACTTTTCAGATACAGAATGACAAACAAATAGAGAAAAACAAACAAGTCTTCGTCTTCTCTCTCTTTGTTTGCTTTTGGTCACACATGAATAATCTTTTTTTAATGGTGTATCGTTTTCATTGTCTATTTCTCTCTCTTATCCACTACTTAATATGATTATTTTTCGCTTGATCGGTATTAACTACATCTTCGGTGTTAGTCATCAAGCAATGTATTTTTCTCTCTCTTTGCGGGGAAATAAAAAAAATAAGAGACGTTCTTTCTGAATTACACTGGTTAAAAAAAATGTTTCATTACTAAATGAATGTCGCAGATGTATCCTTTTTAGTCTATGGATTTTTTATTATTTATGGTCATAGGAGACGAAAAACAAGACGAAAAAGCCTATCAAAATACAGCTATGACTCAAATGTTAAGATAAATAAATAGACACTACCATGAAAAAAAAATACACCAATTTTTCCTGCACCACTGGCGGTATACACATTTGCCTACAAAAAATATCTCTCTCTCTCAGAGGAAAAGAAAAAAAGAATCTATCAGTCTTCCCATCAATGAAAAGAAAATATTTCTTTTGCAATTTTCTCTTTCAGAGACGACCGATGACTATATAAAGCTGAAGCTCCACACTGTAATCATACCATTACGATAGTTATAACTATACAGCCATTCACCCTGAAGCAATAAAAATCAACAGCAAAAATGAAGATGCTCAATCAAATGGTCTTTATCGTCATTGTAATGCTGGTGTCATTATACTTTGTGGCACAAGCAGTACCAATGAAAAATCAACAACATATACTCGATAAACGTACGGTTTCGTCTTTTACCACAAAGTTTTAAATCTCAGCACCAATCACAATACATACTCGAAATCTTTCCTTCAATTTGAACAAAATATTTGAACAATGCTTTGCTGTGGTCTGATCATTGATCAAGTCTTCTTCCATCACTGAAAAATCAACCACTGATTACTTCGAATTGAACGAAGTAGTAAACTGGGTGGTTTCTGAACGTTATTCACTAAGCGAATCTTTTCTTATCACATAATAAAGTACAACTCATTCATTCGAATTCAACCAAAACATCAAATACGTGTTTGATATGAGGCATTCATTAAGTGAATGTTCTCGAACGAACTCATTCAATACTACAGCTTGCTTGTCATCCCTCGAAACACTTTAAAATACTTATATAACTGATTCAACACTCACCTCTTCCCAAACGACGGAAGTGATCCCGAAGTTTCCTAAGTACTTCATCGAAATAGTCTGGTAGCTGTGTTGTAACCACTATTCCTTGATTCCGAGTTTCCCATTACGCAATGAGCAGCTATTCTTTACTAAGAAGAGGATGAAATACTTGAAATGCATCTTAGCAAAGGTTCATTCCCCGCTTCTTCATGGGTGATCAAATTAAAGTACAAAATATTCTTTTAGTTCACAGAAAAAGTCACATAGACGTTTGATAGGAGATATTCCACACTGCAGTGCATGTTATTATGTAATGAAGACCTCATCCTTTACTTCGCATGTGAGCAAATATTTCAAAAGGCTTTTAAGAGTAGTGCATTTGACGAGTATTCATCGATCACGCAATTTAACCAGAACATTTCCTTATAGCTCCTCGTAGTGGTCACATAGTGTCCACTATTATTGATTCGCTGATTGAGTGTTTGCGACGATCTAATAAAGTGCCATTGTTTTCTTCAAATGCAAGCAAATTATTTGCACAGCCACTTATCAATCGTTCATCTCTCAAGTACTTGTTGATCATGGAAAATAAACGAAAAATTTACTTATCTTCAGCGAAGTTGTCAAACAACTCTGTGCTGTAAGTTATTCGCTGACCTTGTGTTTGTAATGAAGTAACTAAGCGGCATTCCTTCCTTGCAAAGCGACCAAAATATTTCGAGAGCAACTTATCAGTGGTTCATTTGGCGAGTGCTCCGTGATCATGGAAACTAACCGAAACATTTCCTTATCTTCAGCGAAGTTGTCAAACAACTCTGTACTGTAAGTTATTCGCTGACCTTGTGTTTGTAATCAAATAACTAAGCGGCATTCTATCCTTGCAAAGCGACCAAAATATTTCGAGAGCAACTTATCAATGGTTCA